GAAGCGTCTGCAGCTCGTCGTGTAGCGCCCTCACGCGGCCGTCCAGAAGGTGGCGCTGTGCGTCGTCCGCACCGCCGGACGGATGGAAGGTCGACGGCTTGTACTGCAACGCAAAGGAAATGGGTGAGAATAGCCCGGGGGGTGAGAGAGATAGAGAGAGAGTGGGAGAGAGAGAGAGAGAGAGAGAGAGAGAGAGAGAGAGAGAGAGAGAGACGAGAGACGACAGAGATCGAGAGATGAGAGAGAGAGAGAGAGACGCGACGAGAGAGAGAGAGATGAGAGAGAAGAGAGAAAGAGATGAGAGAGAGAGAGATGAGAGAGAGAGAGGAGAAGAGAGAGAGAGAAGAGAGAGAGAGAGTAAGAGATGACCCTCCTGCTGGCTGCTCGCTACTGCTATACGCTATTGCTACCTGCTCCATGAACTCCTCACTCCCCGGCCACCCCCCCCCCCCCCACGCTGACTACCCCTGCTCCACCCGCGCTCCGCTGGCTAACTACCTACTACCTCTACTCGCACTATACTGCACTACCAGCCTACTACTACATTGTAATCGCATACTACTCGCTAACTACTGCTACTCGCCCGTGAGCGCTACTGCCGCTGCTACTGCTGCTACTGCTGCTGGTAGTGGTGGTATTATTACTGCTACTAACAATAAGGGTTCAACCACGAGTCACCAGCCGAGAGTCGCTCAACGCGGACGACTAATTACGCCAAGGACCACGCCTCGTTAGGCTTGAATTATCCACCTTACCGATCCCCCACCTAATTATACGTCGGCAACGTCATCGACGATACGTACGACAGTCGACCTTCGTGGACATAGAATCAGCGCGGAAAATATTCGCGAAATTCAAAACCTACTTCCAGCACGATTGGAACCAATTAACCCAATTAGTCAATTACACTAAATTGGGTTAAATACACTACTCGACACCCAATCTGTCCTGGACGTGGCTGTTACATGGTGGATCGGCCTCATTACGTGTGCATGCAAACTAAATTACTTTCATACATTATCCAGTGATCACTACTGTATAACATGTTCACGCTACACTGTATAGTATTATATACTAAAGTATATATTATATTATATATATATATATAATGATATATATTTACTATACAGGGGTTGAAATTAACTTTTGAACAAGAGAGTCCAACGAACTCCCTGCCCTCAAAAAGAGGGAGTCCGCAGCAAAATGAGGGAGTCCGCAGTCTGAAGTTAAAAACTAAAGATATTAACAATAACGCATGTGCTTTTTTGAAGATTCATGCAGTTGCACGTCTGCCAAATTTTCTTTGGATATTTGCTGAAAAAATTCGGCAATTCCGCGAGGCCGTGCTGTGAAACGAACTAGTTAGTATATAGCAGAATTTTCAGGGAGTCACACGGACTCCTGCATATGTCAAATCAGGGAGTCCGACACTAAATCAGGGAGTATTTGACTCCGGACTCGCGCTAATTTCGCACCCTGTATAATAATATCAAGAGTAGATATATATGCGAGTTTGTACAACACATGACAAGTAACCAATACCCAATAAGAATATATATGACAGTACCCAAAAAAGAATAATAGAAGTACAAAATAGTATTGTACAGGACAATGGTATAGTAAATAATAATAATATAGTTTCATAAATACAAATAACTAACACAAAGAGAATATATAACATAATAAACATGACACATTTTACAACGAAGCAAGGAGCAAAGGTAGCGAACTACGAAAATCCATTAAAACTATCGACTAAACAATTAATACATAATGAGGTAAACTAATAACACAATTATTATTAATAGTAATTAAGATAGTTTTAATCATATTGCTTCTCAGTTTGCTAAGTTTGCCGCTTGCTTTGCTGTTATGCGTTTCGTGTTTGTTATGTTATATATATTTTCTTTGTGTTAGTTATTATTTGTATTTACGATTAACTACACTACCATTATTTACTATACTATTATGCTATACTACTACAGCAGGGCGTGGAATTAGCACCGGCCCACCGGCATATGCCGGCAAATTATTTGGAGGGCCGGTAACATTGGCAAAACACCGGCCCTCCGAGCCGGTAGTTTCAGCCGTGTTAGCGAGTACCTACATTTTTATTTATACTGTAGTATTAATGAGCAAATAGCCTACATTACTGTTTTACCTGAAGGATGTCACGCCATAATTTATCAACATTTTACAAATTTGAAATCAAGAATGCAATCGTGAAACATGACATTGATTTTACAAACAAAATTTGTGAGGGTTGGTAAATTATGGTGAGGGCTGGTAAAAAAAATGCGGTTACCAGCCCTCTGGGTCGGTACAAAAAAATCTGAATTTCGTGCCCTGATAAATATTAAAGGGACAGTAGCCTCTAGGATTTTACTGCATACAACTGTACTTACTGTATAACAAATCGTCTATATCCACATGTATTTGTCACCAGATAC